CAGGCAAGTGTGGTCATCCTTTCACGCTCCTAGCGTTTACTGTGAAAATCACACGTCACTCTCTTGCCAGATCGCTCCACGAGCAAACTAATGAAACAGCACCTTCCGCAAGGCGACTTTAGACGTGATGATCACAGCCCGTTTGAACATGCAGCCCCAGGGCATGGAGAGATCGCACCCAAAACATAACCTGGGGGGAAATAGGACACTTTCTCCATCGCTGAATTAATTATTTCTCTCCCCTCTTGACACGCTTCTGACTCTCCAGCCACTGGTGGGAGGTTGGAAAATAAGCAACGCAAGAAAACATTTCACAGGCTCCATACACCCTCCTCCTCCTCCTCCTCCTCCTCCTCCTCCTCCTCCTCCTCCTCCTCCTAGGATGAGTTCCCTTTCTTCTCCCAAAGCGCTAACGGCTGTTTTTCGTTTTTTGAAAGACATCATTTCTTTTTAGTCACATGACAGGGAGATTGGAGAAAGTGCCCAGCTTTAAAACCCTCTCTAAGTGCTCGCAGAGCCGCGGGGCCCTAAGAGGTTTGTTGATAAGGAAGAGAACCCCAAAGCAGGCAAGGTAAAAAGAATCCAAGTTATCCTGCCTGGAGGTGACGTTTGTTTACTTTCTTTTCCCCAAGACTTTATGGAGGTAGAATGGATATACGGGGAAATTTGCAAATACTCGGCGGACAGATGTACACACCTGAGTGACTACCCCCCAGGGCAACACATGGAACACTCGCATTGCCCGGCGCTGCCGGGTGCCCGGATCCAGGCAAGACCCTCTCCTGCCACGGGAACCTCCCTCCACATAGCGAAGAGGTCACCTGTTCTTTTTTTTAAAAAAATCTTATTTATTTATTCATGGTAGACACAGAGAGAGAGAGAGAGAGAGAGGCAGAGACACAGGCAGAGGGAGAAGCAGGCTCCATGCAGGGAGCCCGACGCAGGACCCGATCCCGGGACCCCAGGATCACGCCCTGGGCTGAAGGCAGGCGCTAAACCACTGAGCCACCCAGGGATCCTCATTGAACCTCAAATATGTGCACACCTCCAGTGTGTGGCCTTGCCTCTCAACGTGACGTTTTTGAGATTCCCTGCGCTCCGTCATTCTTTTTGTTTGCTCAGTAGTATTTCATTGTATGAATACACCAATGGGTGTACCCATTCTCCTACCTCGTTATTTTTAAGGCTTTTTGTTCGGCTTGCCTCAGCCGAAGTGTTACGACAAATTACACCTGTGTGCCTTGCCCAGTGCGCCTGTCCGCTTATGGGAAGGACAGCAAGAATGACAGGAAGGCCTGTAATCGGGGGTGACCCAGAGAGCGCAGCGTGGGGCCCAGTCCCCGGCCAGGGCTACGGGGCGCACCCATGAAATGTTTGCTTCTTGTCCTTCATTCAGCTTATAAGGAACTGCCCCCTCTTTGGAAGCCACACTTCAAACGCAAAATCAAATGGTTTGCTTTTATAGGGGCAGCTGCATGTAATCTGATTTTCATGATTATTCTCCAAATGTAAAGTGTATGCAGAGCAGTGGCGTGGGCTACCTACGTGTGTCACATGCCAAGGAGTGGAAGTTGGAGTTGATGAGGACAGGAGCTAAAGCCACATTTCTGCTTCTTGTTAAATTCTCTTTTTAATTAAGAACCAACACTTTCCAGCCTTCAAGGAAATATTGATGTTGCCACTCTGTAAAGTGATTTAGAAAGTTGTTTTGGTTAGACGACCCCGGAGGGAACGCCGTATAAAATCCCCAGGAGCCAGGCCAAGAAAGGAGCAGAGTTTTGGTTTTTTTTGGGGGGAGTGGGGGGTCGTATTGTTGTCCCTCCTTTGTCTAGCCCTGAAAAAAAATACAAATTAATCCACAGCTTAGTATTTGATTGCTATCTGTGGCACGCACAAGATAAGCCATTGCAACTAACACACCAATTTAAAATAATCTTCAAAGCCGCATTTAATAAGAGATCATTCCATTCTCCAGCCCAAAATACGCAAGGGAACCAGTGTGTGTGAATGCACACATCGTCTTTCTGCAGAAAAGGGTCTTTCTGAGAAGTTGGTGTTTCGCATGGATTTCTTGGTAATAAATACCACACCTGCATTTAAAATATGATTGTTTCTTTTTTTAATATTTTACTTATTTATTCATGACAGACATAGAGGTGGAGACATAGGCAGAGGGAGAAGCAGGCTCGCTGTGGGGAGCCCGAAGTGGGGCTCGATCCCAGGACCCTGGGATCACATCCTGAGCTGAAGGCAGACGCTCCGCCACTGAGCCACCCGGGCGTCCCTATGATTATGTTTGTATATGAATGATTTCCACTGAACTCCAGGAACCCTATCATGTAAGGCCCAGCAGAGTTCCTCTTACAGCTAGGAGTTGCTTGGTTGTAGTGAGTAGTCCTGCTTGAAGCAGGTGGGCAGTGTCAGGCTCAGGTGTCTTCTAGAGAAATCCATTCACGGTGTAATGACATTTTTCTTTTTTTCAAGATTTTATTTATTTATTCATGAAAGACACACAGAGGGGGGGTGGGGGCAGAGACACAGGCAGACGGAGAAGCAGGCTCCATGCAGGGAGCCCGACATGGGACTCGGTCCCAGGTCTCCAGGATCACACACTGGGCTGAAGGTGGGGCTAAACCGCTGAGCCACCCAGGCTGCCCTGTAATGCCATTTTTCAAAGTAGGATTCCACCTGTCTCTGCAGTGTTCAAATGAGCAGTTAACAAGTGAAAATGGTAAATTCTGTGCATTTGCTGGGAAGCTGGCCCACTGATGCAATATTCAAGCACTTGGTTATCTACTTGGGGGGGGGCACAGGACTGTACCCTCTGCTGCCAGTTCTCGTGGCCTGAGAAGCACAGCTATGCTCCGTTGCCCTTCCTACAGCTACCTTTCTGCTCCCCTGGGGCCTGTGGCTGTGCTGAGGGCAGCAGGAGGCTGGGGGGGTGGTGGTGTCTGTGGGCCTCCCGAGGCGCTATGCGGCACCCCATGTATGCGCTTCTCTAGCGTAAACTGTCAGTTCTGTGCATTGGCTTCTCAAAGGGGCCAGAGACCCTGCCCTAGAGGACAGCTCCCTCCAGCATCCAGACGGCAGGCACTGTCTAGCCCTGACTGTGCCATGACCCCATGGGGATGTCAATAACCGAGTTCACAACTTTCTGTGTTTTCCCCAGCCTGGTCAGAGGCACCCCCAATCGGGCCTTCCGAAGCCTCAGAGACCTCTGGCCTTATACTGTCCCTGACTCTGGCATCCAATTATTTTCCAAACACTGGCATCTGAAGCCCTGCAAGCTCATTCTTGTCTGTCCCTTCTCTGCCACTGCCTTGGTCCTTGGAGACCAGGGCTGCCCCGTTTCAGGAGTTGCTGAATTAATTGCTCTCTGACCCTGGCTTTTGCTTCCATCCATCCCTTGCATCAATCTGACAGGTCAGGCCTCTGCTCAAACCTGCTTGGTGGCTTGGGGTTCTTTGAACAGGGCACTGATCTTGTTCCCTCCACCCCAAAGGCACAGGGCACTGATCTTGTTCCCTCCACCCCAAAGGCTCAGTCCACACCAGGCCATGTGCCTTTCCTTCTTGTCACTTTGCACCCTGACCACGGTGGGGGTGGGGTGTCTGTCATTACTTAGCATTCTCTCCCCATGTCCCTCCCCTCTGCCTGCTGAGTCTTCTCTGACTTTACTGAACAGAGGCAGAGGTGACTTTATCTGTGTCCCAGGTCAGATGGCCCTTCCTGGACTAGCCTCCTCTCCCCCAGCTCCCTGGGTCCCTAAGTGCATGACTGTGAGTCCTGTGTCAGTGCAGGTCATGTGCTGTCATGGAGGGCACGTCACTGTCCCTGTGGTGTGTGCACTCCCAGGGGGAGGATAGGGCTTGGCACCCACTGCAGGACACAGACCATCGCTGAAGGCACTGAAGGAGTTAGACTGTGTGGTGGGCACTGAGTAGCCACAAAGGCAGATGGAAAAACAGCCTAGAGCCACACTTGTGACTCAGAGTCTCCTCCCTTCCCAGGGGACCCCCCGGGACAGCCCTGTCTCAGCCTGATTCCACCCCTTAGCCCTGGTCCCCCAGAAAACAGGGGGATCTTGACTTAACTCTCCTGACCACTAGTCTGGGCTCCTTCCACTTATGTCTCTGGGAATCTGTTCACCTCCCTCCTAGGTCACCTTGGTCCTGGAACTGGTGTCCAGGCTCCTGCCTTACTCTTCCATCTACTGTCCTGCTGTCAGCCACAGTCAACCTGGTGGAGCCAAATCGTTTTTGTTTTTGTTTTTTTTAGATTTTATTTATTCATGTATGAAAAAGAGAGGCAGAGAGGTAGGCAGAGGGAGAAGCAGGCTCCCTGTGGAGACCTGGATGTAAGACTCGCTCCCAGGACGGCCGGATCACGCCCTGAGCTGAAGGCAGGTGGCTCAACCGCTGAGCCACCCAGGGGCCCCTGGTGGAGCCAAATCTGATCACATCATCCTAACTCGAAAATGCTTTCTCTGCTTCCAGCACTTCCAAGGCCTGCCCTGCCCTCCTCTCCCTCCGCCCTGTCCCCTGGTCCCCCTCTTCCCTCTGCCTGAATCCAGGCCAGCCCGGTTTCCTGGGCCTTCACATCACCTCTTGGGAACTTCTCGAGCTCCCCTAGGAGCCGGCAAGGTGTTCTGCTGGGCCCACGGTGGCTTCCTAAGGGGGGGGGACCGTCCACACGGGGCTCCCCCAGCCCCGGGCCTGGCTCTGGGGAGACGCTCAACAGGTGAACCGACTCCTCGAGCGGATAGTGGGCGCGCAGGGAGCCGGGGTGGGGGGGGACCCCGCGGCACTGGGAGCCCAGCGCCTTCACCTCCCGGAGCGCGGGCGCGGGCTGGAAGGGGCAGCGCCGACCTCGGGACCTCGGGACCTCGGGCGGGCGGCGGGCGCTCCCGGGCGGGGGGCGGGGGGCGGGCGCTCCGGGGCGGGGACGGGGGCGGGGGCGGGGCGGGGGCGGCGCCGGGGCCCCTCCCGGGCGGGCGGCGAGGGCGGCGAGGGCGGCTCCCACTCGCGCGGCGCCGGCCGGGTCCCCGCGCGGCCCCCGCTCATGTCCTCCGCGCCCCCGCGCTCGCCCACCCCGCGGCCCCGCAGGATGAAGAAGGACGAGTCGTTCCTGGGCAAGCTCGGCGGCACGCTGGCGAGGAAGAAGAAGGCCAAGGAGGGTGAGCGCGCCGCCCCGCCCGCCCGCCCGCCCCGCGCGCCCCGCGCGCCCCGCCCCGCCCCGCGCGCCCCGCCGGCCCCGCCCCGCCCCGCGCGCCCCGCCCGCCGCCTCCCCGGGCCTCTCGGGGCGGCTCCCCGGCCCCCCGGGCCCCCACGACCTCCCGGCCCGGGGCTCCGGCCTCCCCCCCGACCCCCCACGACCTCCCGGCCCGCGCGCTCCGCCCCCCCCGCCCGGGCCCCCAGGACCTCCCGGCCCGCGGGGCGCGCCGCCGTGACCTTGGGGAGCGCCCTTGACCCTCGCTCTTCCTCCTCCCGGGACCTTGAAAGCCCGGCCGGGGCATCCTCGGCCCCGCGCCCCCTGCCCGGCGGTTTGCAGATGGGCGCTGCTGCGGAGGGCGGACTTGGGTTGCGAGGGGGGGGGGCCCGTCCCGCCGAGAGGGCCCCGCGCCCAGGCCTGCGGGAGCCGCGGTCCCCGAGCGCCCTTCCAGAGCAGCACCGGCCCCGGGGCGCTCCGCGCCGAGCTGAGCCGCGACTGGCCCCCGAGCGCGGGGGCGCGGGGGCGCGGGGGCGCGGGGGCGCGGGCTGGGGGGGGGCGGCGGCGCCCCGGAGCCGCGAGTGCGCAGGCCGCAAGGCGGGGTCGGGGGTGTGCGGGGTGCGGCCCCCAAGGGCCCCGGAGCCCCCCTCCCCCTTTGGTGCTTAGGAAAATAATTCTAAAAAACTACCTGCCTCCGCTTACATTTTAAAGTTTTTGTAGAGTTGCCAGGGCTGTTGACTCCCGCCGGCCTGTGCGGGCCGAGCTGCAGGGCCCAGGTTCCTGAATTTTCCCTTTGTTCTGGCCGGAGATTGCTCCCCTGGGGCAGATCCCCGGTGGGTCTGGGTGAGTTGAGCTCTGGAGAAAAGAGGAGCCCAAGAGGCCGCAGAGGTCAGGCAGGAGGGGGAGACGGCCCTGGGGCTGGCCTCAGACCCATCTCAGATCCCCAGGAAAGGAAGGACGGGAGACGGGTGTGTAGACTGATTATCCCCCAGAAGGTCTCCTGGTGTCTCCCCAAGTGTGCATACCCGCAGGGACACTGGACCCCCCTTCGTTTCTCCCTGGGACCTGTGCATGTCTAGGGAAGTGTGTAACACTTTTACCCCTCAGGGTCATGCATACCCCCATGCATTCCCCTTAGGGGTTTTTATGTGTGTGTTGGGGGGGGGGTTGCATCCTTGCATTTCCCATCAGGGATGCTTTTACCAGATTATTTTATTTAGTCCCCTCCCGGTAGGGCCTCGTCACCCTTTAGGGGCTTCCAAATATCCCTAAACAAATTGGCCATTCCTCTATCGAGCCTTATGATTTAAGGGCCCAAACTGGCTTGCATTTGTCTCTTATCAAGTCGTACCCCCTAAACGGAGATGATAAGTGATGTCACGCTTCTGTGTCATCCCTGCTGCGTTGGTGATGTGTGTCCTCACCTGTAGTGACGTCGCCCTTTGCCAGAAGACATTTCGGGTCCTCTTCATGACTTGGGACGGTTACAGGCATAACTGATACTTCCCTCTCGCAAAGGGAGAGAAGTTCAGCCTTTGTTCAGCCTCGGAAGAAGAGGTAGCCAGGACTCTTGCTTTCGAGGAACGGGGAGTCCGCTGTGATGGTTAAACAGACCGGAAGCACTATGATACCGTGCGCTCAAAGAACACGTGCAAGTGCAGGCCGATGGAGAAGCGCGCAGAGCAGGTCATGCTTGGGTTGAGATCAGAAGGGACCAGGGAAAGAAATCTGCCACAGAATAGCAAGTAAGGGGAATGTTCTGGACTGTTAGGGCTTTTTATGGGGGACATTTACGCCCGTGGAATATGAAGAATACACGCCTGAAGTAACAGACTGGTCCCAAAGTGAAATGCTTCTTGCCTTTGCTTTTAGGAGCTAGTGTGTGTCTAGTAAATCAAGGGCCAGTCTGGTCTGATGTCGGTGCACCAAGAATCCCAGTCCAGGGCATCCTGTGGTGAATAGCGTGGACAGGAAAACAGCAGCAGTGCTGTTGGTGATTTTGCGTGTGAGTTAGCTGGCTCCCCTGCCTTGGTTCTCACAGTTCGAGTGCCTGGCACACGTGGAGGTTCCCCCGTACAAACAAAAGGCTGAAAACCCCGTTTGGGCTCAGACGCAGGAATCAAGGGGGCATAAAACTGGGCTTGGAAGGGCTTAGTGGCTTCCCACTGGTCTTCTGGGAAGTGGGTTGCAGAGATGCAGAGGCTGGATAATGAGATGCTGAATAATTGAGAGTTGTCAGTACTCCAGCAGGCCTGTGGCCTTGGCGGCTTGCTCTCCTGATCTCTGTGCTGTTCCTGCAGCTTGTGAGCTGGGGCAGGGCTGGCCCAGACTTTGGGCCCCAGGGGGAAGGCACTCATTTGCCTACCATGGAACCCTCAGGAAGAGGGTGGGTGCTCAGAGATGGTTAGGCACTGCCAGGTGCAGGGGTTTCATTATCTGGTTTGTTAGAAGTCGGCGGTGAGTTCAGGAGTGTGGGTAGTGGGGAGGCCTCTGTAAGGGAGGGTGTGAAGATTCCGGGAGGTTAGGGATTCTGGGAGCCTGCAGGCACTGGACTCTGCTCCCCCCCACCCCTAATCGGCAGGGCTCGTGGTTGGGACACGGCATGGAGGAACTTGGGGTGACAGTCCTGTCATCTTCAGGCGAGATCATTTTAGAAAATGTGTGGCCCCTGGGGCTTGGAGGAAGCGATGCAGGAAGTTACCCGGGGATGAATTCAGGGCGTGATTAAGGCTGATGTTCTCTGGGAGGGAACCACTTTGTGTCACATGGTGGCCCGGTTTAGGAAACAGAACTATGAGTAACTGTGGACATCGGAAAGTGTGGGAAGAACGCTCGAAAAACCCCACAGCTCCCCGTGCAAGGCCCGGAGACTTTCAGGAGCAGCTTTATTAAAAGCTGGCTTGGTTGCACTGGAGCTGGGCAGAGCGGGCTTGGAGGGCAGAGTCCCCTCGCCAGGTCCCCTGGGTCCCCCAGGTCCCCCCTCAGGACCACAGATGGAAGCCTCAGAGGTGCAGCGGGCCGGGGGCCACCCCAGGGGCCGCAGCTGCCATGCAAGGTCCCGAGAGGTGTGCAGCCGGCTCTGGGGAGCCAGGGTGGCCCTGGATGGAAGGGGCCCCATGGAGGGTCCCCTCCCGACTCCCGTCCTGCTCTGAGGACCTGCCCTCATCCCAGACCCCAGCCACCAGAGCCGAATCTGGAGGCTCTTTCTGTCCCTTCTTTCTGAGCAAAGAAAGCATGTAGGAAGTTCCTCTTCTGTGTGTGTGTGTGTGTGTGTGTGTGTGTGTGTCTACGTGTGTTTTCGTAAATGTACTTTGTTAGAGCCGTCTTAGGTTCCCTTCCCTGCCCCCTTAACGACACGCAGCATCTTTTCATGTGCTTATGTGCCATCTGTACGTCCCCTTTGGTGAGGTGTCTGTTCAGATCTTTGGCTCATCTTGAATCAAGTTGTTTGATTTCTTAGTGTTGGATTTTAAGAAATCTGTGTACTTTAGATGCAGATCCTTTCTCAGATGAGCCTTCTGTGGGGTCCCTTGTCCCAGTCGGTGGCTCGTCCTCTGCTTCTCTCCTGGAGCATCTCCCAAGTGTCGGCCTCAGAAACATCGATCAATGAGCAAGATAGCGATGGAGCCTGCCCTGGGGATCGAAATCTCAAGGGATCACGAGGTGGCAGCGAGCTTGAAGGTTGAGAGTATTACGTTTCTTTTTCAGTAACTTGCCGGAGAGGATCTCTACACCACCTTTGTTAACCTCGGTGATCCCCTCGGCTTTTGCGGAGCGATCAGCTGTGTTGACGATGCGTAGACCCCAGCACAGCCCACGTAAACGCTGCTCTGTAATAGTAGTCCCTAATGTAATAATACCTGGACCTAGATGCCCTGTAATTTAGCCCTGCGAGGTAGGAATTTTTACCTAACTGCAAGGTCTATGCAGGGTGGAATTTCCCCCTCATTTTCAAGTTGAGAAAACACAGCCTTACCCAGTAGCCACCTCATGGGTTTAAACCAGTGGTTCTCACCTGGTTGGATATATGAGTGGCTGGTGGTTGTGCCCCCAGGGGACATGGCAGTGTCTGGGGACATGTTGTGTGGTCATGACTGGAGGTAAGGGTGCTCCTGGCATCTGGTGGGTCCGGGGCCAGGAATGCTGTGAGCATCCCCCAACACAGCTTGTGTTGTCACAACACACAACAGTGAATTATTGGCCCCAGGTGTTCCCATAAGAGTGCCCAGGGGGACGCTTCCTGGGGTGTCTCAAGAACTTCAAGTAGCCTGAAGTGGTGACGAAGCTACTCCAGGCCCTCAGCCCCAGGAGTCCAGAGGTGCCCAGAGCCCCACTGTGAACCTCCCTGGCCTGGGGCTCAGCATCTGGGGCTCTCTGTTCAGTTTCTTAAAGGGAAGAATCTGGGATCACACGCTGGGTCCTGGGGACCAGTCATAGCCTCTGGGGGAGCGGGGTCCTGGCGGGGGGCAGATTGCCAGAGTGGGGAGATGTGTGAGAGCTGCTACCTAGAAGAAATGAATTTTCAAATTTCCTGAAAGCTCAGAAGGATGCAGCCAGGTTCTCCCCAGAAGCGGGAGGTGAAGGCTGTTCCTCCCTCCCGGGACCGCAGAAGGAGGAGGTGCCCCTGACTTCAGGCCTAAGGTCACAGATAAAGGAGTCTTTTCCTGTGCTCACCTGGCCTGCAGGGAGCTGTCGGGCACGGTGGCCCCGGGCCTGTCCTCAGAGCTGGCGACCGTCACCTGTGGGAGACACACAACCTGGACATGGTTCTGGGTTCTGGCCGGAGGAAGTGGTTCCCTGGTTGCACGTAAAGGAGAGCTGGGGATTTGCCAGAGGAGGGGGTTCAGTACGGGTGTCCCGCCGGGGGCCCTGGAGGAGACCCCAGCGAGTTCCTTTTGGGGAAGTGCAGGCAGTTCACGGTGGCTGGGCTGTGGTGTGGCGTGCCGGTCATGGCATGACCGTTGTTAC